GGGGAGGGGAGAGTTTTACACATGTATCCCACCACCCACCTTGCAAAGTCCTCTGAGCATCCTGTACAATACAGCTTTCCAGAGGCATCTGGCTGGCCAGGGTGGAATCAGGATGCTGGGCTTGACAGGCTTTTGATCTGATCCGATCCAGCAGGTCCTTCTTAAAGTGTTCTTAAAGTTGAGCTTCAATATCGAGCTCTTTTAGACGGGCAACTGTGGGGCAGTCCTACCTGTAAAGTCCTACCTGTGAAGATCTTAAGCACATGCACTGGCCTCATGTTTCAACTAGCACTGTGCCAGATTTGTCGTTTCTGACTATTCACTGGGGAGAATGAGAGAAAAGAAACCACTCCCAAATCGTAGGAAGGTCTGAGAATTTCAGGAAAAATACTCAGGGCGTAGGGCTTCAGTGCTGATCTTATGTAAGAAGGTGGCCAAGGGGGGCAGACACTATTTACCCCCCCCCACTGTCCTTGCAGCCTTTCTGCCTGCTTTAGCTTCTTGAAACGCCCCCATCAAGAAGTTGTTGCTGTTCTTACTCTTACTGTTGTTAAAACAGCAAGCCCAAGATTGTCTCTCTCACCTTTCAGGCACTTTGCGGGCAGCCGCACAGGGAAGCCCGGAAGAAGCCAGGGAAGTCCTGCTAAGTTCTCTTGGGCAGGCAGCTGGAGAGCTGAAAACTGTAGAAGAAAGATCACCCCCATTCCCCAGGTTCCTCCCATCAGTAGGGCAAGAACTGAAGCCCTGCACTCTGAGAAATGTCTCCAAAACTCTCACAATCCCAATGAAACAGGCAAAAAAGGACTGTCTCTTTTGAAGGGAAAAAAGAGGTTGTGAAAGGCAGTTAGATTTCAACACAGCTCTTCCTGGAATTAGAGATGGACAAATCTGACACTGTTGGTTTCTCTGGCTTCTCATTTTTCTAATCTGAAATTGGGTCTGTTTGGAATGTTGAAAAGTTGTCTGGTCTTCAGTTCATTCCAAAAGTAAAACTTTTTTTCAAAGTTCACATGAAAGTCTGCTCATACAGTTCTACAAATTTCTCTTCATACAATCAGTTTTGTGCATGATTTTGCCTACAATACTCATGAATTGCAAGCAGGCTTCCCAACTAACCCACGGAGCCAACTGGGTGACTTCGAGCCAGTCACAGGCTCTTAGCCCAACCTACCTCACAGGGTCGTTGTTGTGGGGATAAGACTGAGAGCAGGAGGAGGAGAATGTGAGTACTTTGTAAGGGAAAAAAAGCTGGGATATAAATATTACACACACACACACACCATGTGGCTTTGGGGTTTCCATTTCCCCAAAATGCATATTTTGTATGCATTTTTTGACTGAAAAACTCCAACACAAAATTTAGAGAACTGCGAATTTCAATGGTTAGCAGCTCTTCAATCCACACATTGGTTCAAAAGTGCAAAATCAGGTAAACTTGCATTCAAATTTGAACTGAACTAATGTGAACACTTGGAACACATTTTCCAGTGTGCACCTTTTAACCTAGCAGTGAATTTTTAATCATGCAAAACAACTGCTTTTACATTTGTCCATGGACCATTCTTATGAAGCTGACAACGCTGTTCTGCAGAATGGAGGATAGCTAAGTGCCTTATTTTCTGCACTCCACTTGCTAAATTATTCCCAATGTGTTAAACAATGTAATTAAACACACACATGCTCACATGATAAAAATGCTTGCTGTTCTTCATCAGTAGAGAGCGAGGGAGGGAGAGGGAGGGAGAGACTGAACAAACGAATGAACACGTGTGTCAGTCCCAGCCTTCAAGCTCTGTTAGTTTTAATTTGAGTTGTGGAATTAGTAATCAGTTTTGCCGGAACACTGTTGCGGGAAATAGATCTTTGCATGCAGCGGGCTTGAGCACTGTTGCAAATGAGTATTTGTTAAGGGGAAACCATTCTCTTGTCATGTTATGCTACATTACATAAGATTTATTTCTATTGTATCGAGAAATGGAAGCCAAAAAGGAATGCTTGTTCTTTGTGTCAGTGGAAGGTTATTTCAGAATATTATTTGATTTCCTCTTAAAAGGAGGAACAGCCTCTCTTAATTAAACACACTGGTGTTTTAGAATGAGAGAGGATTGCTTTTTTCCTAAAGCGCATGATGCAGGACAGAGGGCTTACAAGTCCAGTTCTAAACATGTCCGATTAGTCTGTTGTCGCTTCTTGGGCATGCCTGCCCATATCCCGCAACTGTGGAATACAGTCCAGATTGACGGTTGCCAAGCATCTTTGTTAGGGATGCTCAAGCAGGCCCTAACAAGTCATTTGTTTACCATGGCCTTTAATTGAGTTAGGATCGTATTAAGTCTCATGGCACATAGGATGTTCTCTGGATTGCTTTATTCTGCTAGGTGATTTTAAATGTTGCTGCATGCTACCTTGGGAGGTTTGACCTAAATGGTGGCTTACAGATCTTTTAAATACATGAATAAATGCTATTGTTTGAAGTCTGTGGCTGGGAATGTTGCAGCAAGAGGCCTGAAGGGTCAGGGCTGACTCCAAGTCCTTGTCCTTTTGCTTCTTTGGGTGAAGGACAAGAATGCTCCTGTTCCCATTCTCTGAACTAAAGCTGAGCAAATGAGCCACTGAATCTTACTTCAACCCTGACAATGAATCAAATCGTCCGCTGCATTTGAGGGCAGCAGAGTAGCTGAGGGTTGCCTGCCACCCTCAGCTCTGTTCTCCCAACACCCTGAGGCAGTTCCCTGCCTCCCAGCATCGGCTGCCTGGTGGACCCTTTGCATTCTGCCCAATGGCGGGAACAGCCCTGCCAAGGCTATGCAGTGGGGAAGCTGCGGTCCCCCTTGGCACACTCACAGCCGTGAATGCACAGATAGCCCAGTGTGGCAAGCAGAACGAGGCATGTGGGCCGGCCTTTTTCAGAACAGGACGACGCCACACTTCCTGTGACCCCATCCAGCCAATCTTCTGTGAGCATGGTCTTCACTGAGAATGTACTCAAGCAGAGGCGGGCAGGAGGGTTTCTTGGGGCCTTATGGTGAGCCTTGTTCACATTGGGATGGAATTATGCTCTCCTTTAATGTTTAAAATGGGGGTTAAACTTCAGAGATGGAATATATCTAAGGGACAGAAGATTCCAAAGTACATCCCTCTGTTTAACATTTCTTTGATTTTAGCAAGCAGAATTGCGTGGTGGCTGTAGATACAAAGAAGATGCCAAGATGTTTCTAAAACACAAAGAAGCATAAGTCTCAAGTATATTTTTAACAGTCTAGTGGCACTGCATTTGGTATCCTCATCCGGGTTACCCACTAGGTCAAACACCATTTTACTGAAGCAACTGGATCCAGCAAGGGCAGGTGGATCACTTGTTTTGTTAGGAAACATGCAGGACTGGTGAAAGGAAAAACAGAACCAAATGAGAATTTTATGTATGTTCATACAAGGATGAAGAGCAATTTCTCTGCTCAGTAGGACATAACTTTCTTCTGGGAAGACTTAGACCTACACTTGCACACAGGACACTGATAGCTCTGAATTTCAGAACTCACTTCATCACATTTCTTTGGTGTTTCCAAATGAGGATTGCCTTCCTACTGCTTTTCATGGGTGCTTTGGTGGATAGGGTGGCGATGTGTCCTCCTTACAGAGAGAAGTTCCTGATTTAAAGGGATGTCAAAAGACAATCCTCCGTTTGGCACCCAAGTCTGATTTAAAAATAGGCACCTTCCTGGGTGACTCGCTCTGAGGCTGGAGGCAGTGCTCTGTCTTGGGAAGCGGGAGTTGCAGATCCATCCACGCCCCCTATTCCCCCAGTCAACCTTGAAGAAGGGAGGAAGGGGTTTTTCTGGTGGGTCGGGAGGGGAGGGAACTGGAAAGGATGCAACTTATCCAGAGACTTTCTTCCCTCTCCAAAATGCCCTTGCCAGATGGGCTGCAAAGCCCGACTAGCAAAAATAGATTCATTTCATTTCTATAGATGCAGTTCTTCAGGCAGTTCTCAACAATTCGTAAAATTGCAAAGCACAACTGGAGATAATAAAATACCAAATAAAATGTGGATATACAAAATTTAAAACCATTTAAACAGCAAAAGCAGCTCTGAGTTTTGGGCCTTCCAAGTTGTGAGGAAGGGAGAGCAGGGAGCCCTGATGTTTCCGTCAATGGTTTGTGGACAGCAGGAGAAGGGGACACGCACACGGCTGTTCTTGCCACAGCATATACTGGGTGGTGCTTCTACCCAGACTGTTAAATTCGCTTCCTATCCATATTTGTAAATTCAGTCATCAGCTTTATTTCAAAGACATACTGAAGAGCAAGCAACTAGTAGATGCACAGGATCAAATATTTATTGGGACAAATGGGAGTGAAAGTAGAGTAGGAAAAGCAAATGGATATGGATGAGGTGATGACAACATATGGTCAGTCCTTCCAGACAGCAACTCAGGACAGCAGCAGAGAACCAGGAAGGCTTATGCCCTGGGGTGAAATCAGCTGGCTTGGACTGGTCTAGAAGTTCTCCTTAAGATTAGCCAAGCATTGCATGATAGCAGATAATACAGTCTGAACGGGTGCAGACAGTTTTATGCAGGGAACGGCGGGGGGGGGGTGCTACCACAAATAATGCAATGCCCCGTTGACGCAGGACAGTCGCCTGGTCACAGGCTTTCTCACTGTGCTACGCTGCACCGTTTTTCTCTCTAGTGCAGGTGTGGATGACTTGTAGGCTCCGGGTTTTTTGGCTTACAGCTCCCATCATCCCTCACCTGGGATGCTCGCTAGGTTGAAACTTTGAGGAGACCACAAGTTCCTCACTCCTGAAGTCCCTCACAGGACTTATGCGCAAATACACAACTGTACATGAACATCTGTATGTTCTTTCTTATGGACACATTTCCTCTGTTTCTGTTTTCTCAGAATGCAAGCAGCTACCCTTCTGGTAGGGGTCTGATACTCTTCACCATTTCCATTTTTTTTTCTTACAGGAAAAAGATATGTATCCAAGGACTGACATGTATCAGCGAGTCCAAAACCCAAGGGGAGAAGGAAGTCTGGCTTCCCCTAAGAAATTTAAGAACCAGGACTTCGTTCGTCTGAGAGACCACTGCCTGAATCATGGCCTCCTTTTTGAAGATTACACATTCCCTGCAGATCACAGTTCCATTGGGCCTGGTTTGCTCTCTGATGCCCAGCTGCTGCAAATACAATGGTTCAGGCCAACTGTGAGTAGTTCCCAAGTTTGTAATGGCCTTTGGGCATGGCTAATTATAGGGAGGGGATGAGCTTCCCTGCTCAGCTTGCAGGACTCCTCTGAGCTCTGCCCTTCAGGTACCTCACAAGCCTTTAGGAGAACACAAGAAGAGCTTTTCATGGCTGGAATGGCCTTTTGTGGTTCGAAAGCAGCAGGGGAATGTTATCAGCAGTACTGAATTGACTTTTGTGGTGCTGTGCTTTTCATGGCACTCCCCATAGCCCTGTGGCCCCCCAAGGAGAGTATAACAATGCAAGCATCAGAGTGGATCCATATCAATAAAGCAGTTCCTGCTTCCAGGTCTTTTGTTAAATGAATGGGTCTTAGTTTCTGTTTCAGGTCCAAGCTATCCAGAAATAATTTGCATTACCACAAGCATATCTCATAGGTATATTGTATTGTTGCTGGGAGAAATCAACCTGCCTTGCTCCTGTAAGGACTGCAGAGGGAAGAGAGAGGCCTGAGGCCTTGGGGAGCATGAGGGATGGCATCTGAGCTCATCATGGTTCCTGATTATCAGCACAACTTGCAGCTTTGACCCTGTAAGCCCTGACTTTGCTACAACATGGACATGATTAAATCTATTATCTGGAAAGTCCCAGGCCTGTGGGATACCTTTGTTCAGTGGTGTAGAACAGAGGTGTGCTCACAGGGTCAAAACTTGGGCTGTTTGATTAGCGGGAATCGTGACATAATCTGCCGTCTCCTTCAGGCTTCCTGTTCTGTCTGCACTTAGATGAAACCCTCAGGGTATCTTGGAAGATGGGAGGAAGAGGAATTTTCCGGTGGCAATATACCTTTGTAACATAGAAACAGAGCGAGTCAGAAGGGGTCTCCCGGGCCATCTAGTCTGACCCCCAGCTCCAGCCAGCTTCGCTTATGACATGCCCACCATGTTCTAGCCTATCCTTGAACACCCTCACCGATGGGGCCTCAACCACCTCCTGCGGAAGCCTATTCCATACCCTTGGGGTCCTAACTGTCAGGCATCTAAATGGAACCTTGGTTCCCTGAGCTTTGTTCCATTGGAGCTTGTCCTGCCCTCCTCCGCAGGGGAGAACAGGTCCCTATCCCTGTAAGCTATCCCTGTTGCAGTAGGAAGCATTGAAGACACCTAGTTTTCAATGGGTAATTAAGGCCCACAAAAGACCCATAGAGAGACATGAGCCAAACACTGGTCTTAATTCTTGGGCTCTCCTCAGGACTGTGGCGACTGGCAGAATGAGTGCTTATTTTTCCGAATTTAGCACCACTCCACAGTATTTGGTGCCAAACATACTTCTTCAAGAAGTTTTTTTTATTATCAACGGATGGAATGGACTTGTGGCCAGAAATTGTAGCTGAAGTACCTTCATAGTATTATATTTCCTTTAAATAAACAAAGAAATACTGGTGCTTTGAAAGGAAAGTTGAACATCATAAATTCAAGTCTAGACTATGATTCTTAGGCACGTAAGGATGAAATCCTATACACATTTAAACAGGATTAGGACCAGTTGAACTGCATAGAGTTCATTCATGGGGGATTACTTCTGAGTAAACATGCATAAGGTTAGAGTTGCTGGGCTACAGTTCCTGTTCTATCAGTATGAAATTCCATTCTTCTTTCACTGCTTTCTATTTTGTTTACTGAAAATATTATTTTGCTCGCATGGAAAGATGTACTGTAAACTTAAAAAAAACTGTTTAAAAGAATTTAAGGGTCATTTCCCAGACTTTTATAAAGTTGGATCTTTATAAAGCTCAACAGAAGGCAAAGGCCTGATTTGCATTCAAAAGGTTATGCATGTAAATCTTTACATATTAGAAAGTTCTTGAAATTAATTTTAACTGCAAGCTCCAATAGGCAAGCCTGCTATATGGTGAAATTACTTTCACCATGACAACAGTTTTTCCCTATAGCTATACCTTTTTTAACAATTCTGCTTAATGCTTCTAGCCAAAGGTTGGTTTAGCAAAGTGATGGTTAAAAAAAAAAGCATGTCAAACCAAAATGTCTCTGCTTGTTTCGAGTCTTCTGAGTCATGCAGTATCTGGTTATTTAAGTGACAGATAACTTTTTTTTTAACTACTGTCACAGTTCCAGATCCAATATAGCAGCTCAGGAGTGAAGCGGGCTTCAATTTTATCTCATGCATCAACAAGAGAATTGCCAATTACATTCAGAGTCTGGGATCTTTATAGCTGGTGGTAATGCATAAAGCAGAGAGAGCAGGCTTGATTTGCAGATGCCAGGCAGTGCTGACAGCTAGAAACAACTTGTTTTGACTTGTAAAGTAAGCCAATTTGATAATCAGAGTTCCTGAGGGGGAACCGGGCTGGAGCACAAAACTGTCAGTTTTGACACCCTCCTTGATCCAGGCACACATGCCCTTTACAATTAGATGCAAATCATGGGCTGCATTGTCCTTAGTTATATAGGCAGTCCCTGGGTTATGGATGAGCTTCGTTCCTGAGAAAACAGGAGTTCATCTTTAAGTAGAATTTGCATGTAAATCAGATCCCATAGAGTTGGCCCTTCAAATTCCTGGGGGTTAGGGGTGCAGATCCCCGTGAAAGTGGAAAACCACAAATATCTCATCTCCACCCCTGCCACCCAAACTCACCAGTGCCTCCCCTTTGCAGTGAGGAAATGCTGGATATATTTCTCTCTACATGGGTGGGGTAGGAAGGCATGCTTTGGAGGCCTCCCTCTCTACCCTTTAATTTCCTTTCTCTCTATGGTGATGCTTTGGAGACCTTCCTTCTCTCCCCTTCAGCTTCCTCCCTCTATAATCTGATGACAATTTCCTGCAGTATTTTTTAATTAATAGGCTCTCTGGCAGTTTGTTTGTAAGTATGGGTTGTTCATTACTAGGAGGTTCATAACTCAGGGACTGCCTCTACTTAGATAACCCATTCTGTTTTGAAAGCTCAAGGCATTGCTCAAGGCATCACTCCCAGTAGCTCCAATCAGGTCTACACCCCTTTAGCTTCAACCAGGGCTCTGCTGGGGCCTCTAGTAATGAATGGTCTAATAATGAGCTGCTCATGTAGGGCTAGAAGCAGGAGTGGCTTGCCAGTTGTTTGGGAGCTCCTGCTCTTCCACTTTTAAATAGGAGCTGGATCTGCAGTCTTACCAGTCCTTACCATTGTTATGTTCAACTTGATGCTGTGAATAGGTGGTTTCTGTAGCTTGAGCTGTAGTTAAGGGCACAGGAACAGGTGTTGTTTGATAAGCTGACAGCTCTGCTCCTCACCTGCCATTTCTTCTGGAAAGAGTTTTTAAAGTGGGTGACACTTTTTGTGATGCTTTTTAGAAGGGTTCTGGAAGGCAAGAAGGAAGGAATATGACTTTTAGGCTTCTATCACTCTGTGACCAGATCCTACACAAAAGCATCCTCCATATAAACCAGTGGTGCACATCCTGAGGTCTGGGGCTGAGTCTGGTCCTCCTGGGTTCCCCAGATAGTCACATCTAAAGCCTTCATTACCTACAGCTTTAAGTTTAAATTGCTGGTATTTTTGGCATATTGCCCATATCTTCACTCCACCTATTTCTGGAATGTGCCCTTAACAGCTTCTCCAAATCTGACTCTGGTTCCTGAGATATACCGTCCTGAATAACTTATCCCACTGTGTCCAGATGTCTGCTAATAACCATTAGGAGCTGTACTAAGCCAGATAAACAGGGAAATCGAAGACATGTAACCTGTTGACTCAAGTTTGCTATGCCGCACATTGTCAGAAAGGTTAACAAAATCACAAGGGATTTCCTGACAATCCAATGCAGGGGCGAACTCCATCTTTCTTAGGATTTCACCCTGGAAAGGAAAATCAGCTTCAGTGTAAAGAGTCATGCCCTTTTAAAAGGTCTCACACTAGAGATGCTGAACTGATGTGGATGGTATCATAAAGAAGGGGGCTTCTCTTTGTGTATATCAATTACTGCTGAAAACTGTATCTGAATCAATCAGCTGAACAGGCAATGCAGTGGCAGGAAGGAAATGCCATTTCCATTTCATTAAGCTGATTGAATAAAAGCAAGCAACTGGGGTTTTATTTCAGGAATATTGAGTAGGTAGGACCTCAGGGCTCAAAATCCCAGTGACCTACATACGAGGAAAAGCAGCTTCCTTTGGTGTTCAGAAATCACACTAAACAACAGAGAATAGCATAGAGTAGTTATTAGTCCTGCCCGGACTGTGTGGCATGGAGGTCCCAGATGCAGCAGCTGGACCAAGTAATCCATCTAAATAACAATATAGGGACATGAAGTCTAAGGGTCAAAATGAGGATGTGTGCATCTACAAACTGCACTAGTTGAGATTCTTTGCTTTTAATTTGAGCAAGAAGCTTCATCCATATTTTCATGAACAGTTTCCAGAGATAGGCTGTTGCCTTCTATTGAGCTTTTAAAAAGACCCCAACTTGATTTTAAAAACTCTGGGAAATGACTCTTACATTCTTTTAAAATCATTTTACAGCACATCTTTCAACAATAGCAAAACAGTAATTGTACTGGAGAAAGAAAGGGAATGCATGAAAAGTTCATGTTGATTCAACAGGAATTGCATCAATCACACTCATTTTAGAATGTGTGCATCTCCCATCCCTATTGACTGAAGTGTGTTCATATACCATTTTCTAACGTGTACATTTAATACATTCAAATGTGGACTATTTTCAGATGTATACTTTTTCCTTTGAATTGTATTCCAGGCTAAGAAATGTATGAACTTTAATTTCTGATTGCATGGATTTGGTTCTGGTATCTAGGAAGTATAAACTGCCTAGAGTCTAGTCAAAATCGAACTGAAATTACTTTCCCATACACAGAGCACAGTGGGATTTTGCCTAAGAACAAGCAACTGAAGTTTTGTCCCTAGTGCATGCACTATTTATGATGCTACTGCAAAGTTCCAAAGGTAACCTAAAAGATTTCAGGTCAGTGCATACGGATTCTGCTTCTGCTCATGCATAGGAAATTGC